TATATATATATATATATATAGGCACTGTACCAATAAGGGTATCGTACGTACAAAACTTATGCGTCCATTCACTTGTCTGCATCGTCTGTGTTGCTCCAAATTAGTCGTTTGGCCACCGTGTATGCGTCTAAATCAATGAAACCGATCCTAGCTATTTACCTTTTGGTGTCCTTTGAGATGTTGCACTTCAAACAATCTTATCCTAACAATTGGGTGCGTTCCAAACTAGCTGAGGAAAGTGATTCTTAACGGTTCGATAACATAGAATTAGTTTAGTTTGCTTCAGCCTATTTTTCCTCACCGATTCATTCTTTAGTTACTCTATGACAACGTTTATCATATGGAAAATCCTAAACAAAACACGCATACGCTAATATCACTCAGCCTACCTTTTCTCCTTGCGGTCCGGTTTCACCTTGTTCACCTTTCGGTCCCTTTTCCCCATCTGGACCGGGCTCACCAGGAGCTGCAGGCTCAGCATCTTCACCGGCAGGTCCCTGTTCTCCCTTAATCATAGGCGAGTCTTCGCCTGAGTCACCAGGTTCCCCAACTTCTCCTGGAGCACCCTTGTCACCTGCTTCTCCGGCATCTCCTTCCGGACCCTGTGGTCCTTCGTCACCTACTTCTCCAACGACCGACTCTCCATCGGGACCAGGGTCGCCATCGATGCCCGGTTCGCCATCTTTCCCAGGGACACCTATATTTTACCAGCGTAGTGATTATCGAAGAATGCGGAAAATAGTAGGTTTTGAAACACCAAATAAATATCACTACATACGAGTTTCAAACATCTAACTGCAAAGAACTGATTGTCTGGTTGCAATTTGGAAATAATCAATAACGAACCTAATAAGAAATCATTACTTCACTCAGAGTTTGAGTGACAACTCATTTTTAATATGAAAATAAAATCGGTTCAACATATCATCTAGGAAAATCACCAGTGGATTTTTATTGGGTGAATAAATGGATCGCATGAAAAAAGGTATGTGATGTTACGTCGGAGTTGGTCCTCTGTGTCACCGCCAATATCCGCCAAGTAGTTGAGGCTGTACGTTATCAGAAACTTTGGTAGGCACAACAAGCTGTTTTTCGATAATGAATTACATAGAATTATATAGAGGTGATTTGCAGTTTTCATTTGGAGTGAAGTCATATTGTGATGGAAGGCAGTTCAAAGAGAGTCCTGGCNAGCGACCGAAGCAAGAATGAGGCCCATCCGACCAGAGGCACAGACGCAGTGGCGGGAAGTGCCTCGCGAGACAATGTTGACTGCCAACCGAAACGAGTGAATCGACAATTACAGCCCGAAAGACAATCCACAGCTAACGGGAAAGATACCCACCGAATGCCACGTCGGAGCTGTCGATCAACATTGTCTCGCGAGGCACTTCCCGCCACTGCGTCTGTGCGTCTGGTCGGATGGGCCTCATTCTTGCTTCGGTCGCTAGCCNGCGCAGCTCTGAGCTTTAGCCCTGTACTGGTCGAAGAACACTCGTAATGCGGTGTGCATCAACAGCTTAACCGAGTTAGTGACCATGCGGTATTATGTCTTGCTTATTCTTTGTGCATGCATGCATAATTAGTCATGATCTACATCAGATTAACCAACACAAATAACCCCAAAACTTTGACCATTCTCTCCCAGTTGAAAGCGATTAACAGCACCTCGTTTCACTACATAAGTTGATTATGCCAGCTCATTTTGATCACATTCACTTGGCAAATCTGTCGGGAACAGATACGTTCCAATCAAATTTTTCCGTGGACAAACAAATATGCCTAATTGAGTTTCATAGAGCTTTGTTTTACCTAGTAACTTTAAAATCAATCGCATCTTTGTATATCTTTTGAATTTGCCGTTGTTTTTAGCCTACACCACATCCAATGCATATAAAACTTTCTGAGGACTGTCGAAGGGATTTAATACGCCCTATTAGTAAGCAAAACAAAAAAGAATTTCTGGTAAATTGACGATCTAAGCATAGTTTGATAAGGAAGCAAAGTCAGACTGTAAATCCATCCTTCAACTTCTTCCTTGCGAGATCCAACTAACTGGTATCTTTTAAGATAATGTGCAAATTTCGTATAGTACAAATGAGACGTCTCGTGGTTTATTTCGAACATTGAAGTGCACTTACCATCGGGTCCAGGATCTCCAACCTCGCCGGTTGTACCAATGTCTCCCTTTTCACCCTCCGGACCAGGAGGTCCCGCTTCTCCTTTAGGACCTTCCTCACCCACCAGGCCGACAGGACCCTCCTCTCCGACTTCACCTTTCTCACCGTCAGGAGCTGTTGATTTAAAAAAGAATGAGTTGTAAACAAGCCTAACAATACAGGTGAAAAAGAAGCTTATCAACTAGGGCTACATTGAAATACAATATTTCTAAGCTTTAACACTGGGATTGCGGAGATTTTTCCTGTTCTTTTGTTCTGGTCCTCCACATTCTGAATCCAACAGGACACACTAAATAAAAACATCAACTCACCTGGACCAGGAGCATCTTCGCCCGGATCTCCAGTATCACCCAGTTCTCCTTCATCACCTTCCGGACCAGGTTCACCAGGTTCACCCTGTGGCCCCGCCTCTCCCTGTAGGCCTTCTTCAGTGCATTTAGCTTCATCTCCGGATTCACCGACCTCACCAGCAGGTCCTTGTGGACCTATTTCACCTTTGTCACCATGGTCACCATCTTCCATACCAACACTGGGTTCTCCTTTTGGACCGCGATCTCCTTTTTCACCCAAGTCACCTTTATCTCCAGGAGGACCGTCCAAACCGGGAATACCTTGAAAAATGTTGAGCAAAACAATAATCGGATATGACAGATTAACGTTTAGGTACAACAAGTGAACTGTGAGTTTTCTGATAGACATGTGTTTTTCTAAAGGTGCTCCTCGCCGTCGCTTGAGGCGTTTTCAGATGAAATCTTATTCAAGTACAACATACGCTCCTCATGAGAAATGCACTTATCTTATATAACGCTACATAAGTAACTATTAGAAAAAACATTGTGTGTTTTCCCCAGGAGCATGACCGACAATGTTCATGGATGATGCAAAGCTTATAATACACTTGTGTTTCATTTTTGCCCGTATCAACTAACTGCATCTATGTTTTGTGGCCTCACTGTTCAGCTCCACAGACGCCCGCGGCATTGCAAAGTGGATCTCATCCAACAGCGTTTTAAAGTTTCATTAGGAGAAAACATATCTGTGATTATGTACGGTCCATAGTCGCCAGAATCAATCGAGTACTTGACTTAAAATGCACCATTCTTATGACTGCTCAGTCCCATTCTGTCTGCATCAGCTGGGATGCCGTAGATGACAACGAACATGTTACATCACTTTTGGATCGTCTTATCAGAGAAAAACAACAACTACGAAAACGGGACATTTCATAGAATAAACTTACCAACTACTTGAAAAAATATCGGTCCTATTCAAACAACAGATGGTTTCAGTTTCACAAGGACTTCAGTAACCGGATTATTATCTTTTAATTAGTTACTTCGTGACAACTGGGGAAAAATGGAATTAAAAAAAATCTTACGTGGTCGCAGTTTCACCAGTTGACAGCGGTTAGTTTAGGCTTTTTTCTAAACACTGTAAATACATACATAAAGAACTAGAATTCATAAACAGAGGGAAGACGTTTGCCACTTTTAAGACCCTTCAGATACTAGTCAATGGAGCTCGAGCACAAAGCCGCCAGTTTCACTTTTATTACTCACCTTTATCACCCATCGGTCCAGGTGGCCCATCTATACCAGTATCACCAGGCTCGCCTTCCACACCCTTGGGTCCCATTTCACCTTTGTCTCCCTCACTGAACTCTCCGCCAATTCCGTTCTCACCGANCCCTGTTCACCTGCAATGCGGGACGAAAACAGAATAACTCAGTTCGTGTTGCTCAACACACAATGCTCATGTATTCATTATTGATAAACCGATCGTATGGTATGGTAAGTGAGAATAATATTCCAGCTTGATCCCTCAATGAAAAAAATGTTTGATAATAAAAATAACTGGACTAAGTAGTGTATATATCATTGAAGGTAGATGCAATGATAGGAATTTTTGACTTTTCTTTGTGAGAAACCAGCTTCCATCTGATGGGCTTCTAAGGCAGTGCAGTGTGTACTTCTGCAGTGGGGTTACACAGTGATCTAGGGGTCCGTTTAATCGGGGACTGGAACTGTCATCAGTTGACTGAACAATTAAGAAAATAATTTAACGAAGAGGTTTGAAAAAAGTGCGAATTGGGAACACACAAATACTGGGGTTAATCTGTTTGAACAAAAAAACGGGTTGGAAAACGAGAGGCGTATTACGGAGTTATTTTGCTTGTACGGAGTTCACTTTTCACAGTTCGGACGACAATTCTGTAGTATCTTAGTTAACAGTCGCAGATGTGGATTACTTCCACGGTCTTGGGTATCAGTCACATGACAAGTTTAGGTCAGTAAATGTGGGTGCGCCTGCACTTGCGTAGTTGAGTGGTTTCTTTCGGTAAATAAGTCACGGTCTTAGATTCACAGATTTGACTCTGTTCATCACACGGTACAGACGACTTGAATGAATCTAGGCCTACTGAGCACATACATCGTTATTCACTTACTAATTGCGAGTGGATGGGGAGACTGCATACTTAATGGTGAAATGGTACAGGCTTGAAACTTAACAAGCAGTCATCGCAAGAATTCCTTTGTCCGTTGAGCGTTGACTTTGGAGCACAAATATATTGCCAAGTATTCGCTTCTATTTGGACTGAAATCAACTTTCATTATTTATCTTTTTCATCGAGCATGTGTGTTTAGAATTTACAAGAGGGTAACAGCTTTCTATCTAAGAACCAAATGCCGCAAAGTAATGCAAGAAAGTAGCTAATGTGATCAGATAGAATAGTTCTTTTTAACATTCTCAATATTAGGCCCTTTGATCAGACTCCAGTTAAATAAATGACCGATAGTTTAATAGTTTATTGATTCGAAAAAATGTAAGGTTCTTCTCCACCGGGATTACCTTTGTATCCTTTCAGGCCGTCAGGACCCCGTTCACCCGGATCTCCCACTTCCCCGTCAACTCCAATACCGCGTTGACCATCAGGACCTTCGGAACCCTGAATACCTGAAATACAAAGTACAAAAGTTTGTATTCACCGTATTTAATCTCAAAAGCTCAAACTGAAACGGCACATTCATTTTGGGTTATGTATTCAGCTTTATCCAAAGCACGGGTAATCTGGTAACGATCACTGGTTGAAACGTTTAGCATTAAATTATATGGCTTTACGTACTAGTTCCTTGAATATCAAATATAACATGAAAACCGGTAATATACCTCTCTTATTTATGGATAATACTTCCCTGCACAAAATGCTACAAGGCTGAGGTTACCGATTATCCTAAGTATTAATTGTTTCATCACAGATTAAATGAGGAAGAGATTCATATTTTAAGGAATTAAATAAAAATGTCATTTTTAATAACCATGAAAAACAGTGCCCAACATCATCTTACCGACGGGCAGGATGCAGTTCTCCCAATCGGTTCTAATGTTAATTTAAACAAAAGGAAATGAGCTTATATCTTTTCGCGCACATGTTGTTATAGCAAAAATTCCATTGCTTTGTTAGGTTTAGAACTTACCTTCTGGTCCCATATCTCCTTTGATGCCTTGGGGTCCTGGNGCCTGGTGGACCACGATCACCGTGTTCTGCTGGCAGTGCCGGTTTTCCAATCTCTCCTTTTCTTCCGCGCTCTCCTTTCGGGCCTTCTTCGCCAACCTCACCGGGTTCACCCTTTTCACCGCGGTCCCCGTCGATGTCTGTGGAGGTATGAATGTGTACGAAACATTAGCGTGGCATTTATGAACAAGGAAATGCGCAGTTGCTACCATTCTGATAAGCCATGTTGAATAGAGCTATGTGGAATCTGTGCAGATTTCCGGGTTCAACATTACTGAATCCTGCTGGAAGTGAGCGTGTATGTGAATGACTGTTCAATTTAATTGGCTGTTTACCATGGTAGTAGGGGTTTCTACATGCGAATGGCCCACTTTTTAGTCGGTGGAGATATTTTTGCTTCAATTTTTAGCATTTTCCATGACGAACAATTGGGTTTGTAATAACTATATCCTTGTGGACTAATTCTGCCCAAATTAGTTGTTCAAAGATTATCACTAAACATACTCTACGTTTATATGCACTTTATTACCAAGTACTTTCCCAGGAGAGGAGTTCAGAGCGGAAATCCTAGGCGGGTAGATGGAAAAGCACTATTAATGAGCTATAGAGTCAGCATATCTAGTGTTCCGTGCTTTCTGATTAAATGGTTTACCGTATGAAGACGAACTCGCTTCCGCCGTCCATCCTTACCAAGCAACCTATTATTAGCGATAACCGTTATCCTGAAAAATGACTGGACCACAGTACCTTCGATGAAAAAAAATAATTTAAAAGTTACCATCGTATTAATCACGATTGCTCATTGTTGATGGTACCTAATAGGAAGTGAAACAGTTTTAGCAGGTTTTCAAGCCTTTCTGATTAATTTTGATTCATTCTTCAAGCTATACTCCATGTTCTTCAGAGTATTTTCAGGCAACGATATGAATTTTAGACAAAGGCAGGAGCTGAAATTTTGACAAATGGTCCTTACCAGTTTCATTTTGTACGGGGAAATCTTTTTTATCAAGGGTACAGTTATGTGTTCGACCGGGTCGCCCAGGCATTCCTTTGGCACCACGTTCTCCTGGTTCACCCTTCTGGCCCAATTCTCCCACGACATCGGTAATATTCTCTCCAGGAAGACCGGGCGCGCCAACGTCACCCAAATCACCATGCTCCCCGATTGGGCCTGGCTCGCCAGCTTCACCCTGTGGAATTTGGAAGCATCATAAATGTAATCTGATGAACGAATGATGGCAGTTCATCAACGGGACAATATAGTCACGAGGAGGAAAAAGCATTCTGAGCAAGATCAACCAGGGAAGAGAACTAACCTCAGGTCCTTTCGGTCCTTCGTCGCCAGTTTCTCCTGAAGGACCCTCATCACCTCGTTCACCAGGATCACCTTCGGTCCCAGGTTTGCCTTCGTCACCTTGGTCTCCTGGAATCACGTCTTCCACGGTTCGCGTAACAACAGCTGGTTCGCCTGGGTCTCCTTTCTCACCAATATTCCCAGTTTCACCAATAGAACCCTTCAAATAAAAAACGTGATAAAGTTTGAGTAACCATGTTGGACGAAGTATTTGTGTTGCCGAGTGCGTAGTTCCTGATTGGCAATAAACCCGAGCATTCGTGGAAAGAATACTACAGAACTTGGTGTTATTATATTTGGGGCTCTGCTCCAAAATAGTTAAAGGTGCTAACGCAGACCAAAAGTGCGACTGATCGTGCTAGGCTTGCTCAGTTTCGAACGGGGATATCCAAGCGGTGTTGGTCGTTTTCATATCTCCGCAGGAGGTCATGATTTTGAGCTCCACAAAGCCTGTTTAGCTTTGGTCATTAATTTGTATCCTATGAAAGCCATTTATTTGTCCACTTCCCTAATCTAAAGCTTTATTTCTACAATTTTACAATCAACGAAGGAAGTAAAAGAAAGAAAATGAAAGGAGAGATGACTCAATTTTAGAGTGCCACCGTATTCAGATTTGAAGATTTTTGCCGGTTAGTATCGCGGTTCACGCTAGCGTTGGTGGCATTTGAATTGGTTCAAACCACTGCACCCTAACGATTTGAAAAAACCGAAAGCAAAAATTAATGTGCTAAATCATTCTAACTAAAAGTTATCATCGGGACCGGTTGTACGAGTTTTTTGGATTCATTTTAGTTCGCATTATAATAGTTAAATAATCCTTACTTCAGGGAACGGCTTTTTGTAATTTTATCCAACTTCCTCTCAAATGATAATTCATATAGATTTCATATTTGTCTGCCTCGTTGTCATTGGTGTTCGTTTGTCCTTTGCGCCAGTCATATACACTGCGAACATTGCATAAACAACGCTTTTCCATTTTTGATGAAACAGCTAGGTGTTATCTTACAAATGTCCTTTTCTTCATATAGTTTGATGGCGGAAGTAGAGTAACATAGGGTTCTCTATTGAATTGATGTTTTATTTTTGATGATCCAATGGAGAACGAAGCGGACCTGGTTAGCCTGATGGATGAGTGTTGTCTGGAGACTCCTAAAAGAATCCTGTTGGAACCCAAATGGAAGAAAACCGGAAGACAATGATTGTAAAAATGTGATCTACCAAATCAGTTATCAAGAATGCAACTATAGATACCGCATAGGTCGTACAGGGGAGGAAGGCGTAGCAAGTGGGGTGCCGGAACACCAATGGATCAGTATAGATACCATGCACTCCTAAACACATCTCAATCCACGCGGATCATAGTGAACAAAAAATCAACTTGGCTAACTTTCGAACCACCAACAAAATAATAATCAACACGATTGTTTATGACTTCATCACACAGTCTTGTGTTGCACACAAACATCCACACGTAAAATGGATGATGTTTTTGACTTGAAGTGTGCTTTACAATGCTCTATAATTTCCAATTTTTGCAGCTTTATTTCAAAAGGGGATGAAGAACAACTTCAATTGTTGTCAGATTTAGAGAGAGAAAACCTCTTATTAGTTGTAGCGGTCAAAGAAGTATGTATTGCACGTTCCACACACACACGCACACTCACTATCCTCAAACATTACCGCTGGTTTGGATTTTTGGTTTACTTTATAGGTTAACTTTTATTTTCTTACCTTGACACCTTTGATTCCAGTTTCTCCGATATGTCCGTCTTCACCCATAGGACCGGGTTCACCGGAATCACCGTTAATTCCGGGAGCGCCCTTGTAACCTTGCAAACCCTCTTCGCCAGTGTCACCTCGAGGGCCGTCAATACCATCCGGACATAGTGGACATGATGCTAAGCGCTCACCTGAGGCATGGGTCGGAAAAACAGGGATAAACATAATGAATTGAAATATAACGGTTCTACTTTTGCTCTTGTTGATCTGGTCGTCATATCATCTATTAGTTGAACCTCTTTGCTGTGAATGAGATATTACAAGCAAATCAGTTAGGCATTCAAGAACGCAAATTAAACTCAGAAATTTACACTAGGAATGGCTGTTGGTTCATTTCATTGATAAATTGGCTGAAAGTTATATTGTCTGTTAGGTAATATTAACATTTACTTTACATACCTTTTGGTCCAGGCAGGCCTGGCAAACCAGGGTCGCCAACTGGACCAGGTTCACCATCATCTCCAGGTTCACCTGGTGACCCCGGTGCACCAATCTCGTAATCACCGTTGAATCCTTTCTCGCCCGGATCGCCGGGGTCCCCAGTTTCACCTGTCATCAGGAAAAAGGTAAATAATTTTGATTTATATGTTCACCGAGTTATAGTAAACCACAGAACAGTTATTGTGGGACATTGATTTACCCTTCGGACCACGAAATCCTTGAACTCCGTCTCTTCCGACTTCACCAACTTCGACAATGCCGTCATCTCCAGGAGCTCCTCGTTCTCCCGGTTTACCGGGCTCTCCAGCGTCACCAGGCCATCCAGGTTCTCCACTGGTACCTAGTGAAATAAATGAAAATCGTTCGGAGCTACTAATGAGTAGTCTCATTCGCTTTGCATAATTTACAACCATAACCAGTATGCAACTAGTGTCCAACAGCGGTGCCATTATTTAAGACTGAACAAGAGTTTACAACAAAGTTATTATAAACAATACGAACGATCTAGTATCAGGTTGAGGGATTAAATGTTTTAAAGGCGTGGAAAACCATCCAGCTAAATCGTAAAATAATCCATTTGCGGGAGTCTTCAGAGCAAGGTCGGCTATAGGCCACACTGAAGTTGATGTTTGTAATGAGCGTATATATTCACATAAAATCATTAGTTTCAGCAAATGTGACAAATGTCTATGTACAATAACTTGGCAAGTTATAGAAATTATCGAGAATAACTCAAACCACACACAAATATTCTTCATTATGTGCATAGATTATTGCATATTATACACAGTTCGTTCGTGTTTCATCCACGTACCGTAGTTTCCTTTTGGTCCTGGTTCACCCACAGGCCCAGGTTCACACTGCTTTCCGGGGTAGCCTTGTGTACCTTTCGGTCCTTCTAAACCTGGAAGACCTTTTTCACCCGGTTTCCCTCTTTCTCCAGGTTCGCCGGCTTCACCCTTTTCTCCTTTGTAACCCTCCTCACCGGGGCTCCCTTTAGGCATTTGATCAATCGGGCATTCGTGTTTCTATTGGTGTGGGGCGGGGTGGGGAGGAGAATTACACAATTGTTGATTGGCAATACTGACCCCTATAATGATCACGCTTTGTTTTCCATTTATACACAAGCAGAATTCCACAAACAGCGTTGCAACTGTTTGTATAAATAGGGTTTACACTGGTTGAAAGCTTGTATATAACTCGCTAAAGCTTGAATACAATACAATACAACACAATAATTTACTACTCACTGTTTAATCCAATAACATGAAGTGTCGGTTTCGGTTCGATACAACGTTTCGAAAAAGGTTTTTGTATACACGTGCAGTTATCCTGCACTGACCGGGTATTCCCATACCTATCTTGAACCATGTCACTTACATGAACTATTTTGTGTTATCAAGAACCCGGTCATTGTTAATGATTACTGCCTTGTTGTTAATTGTAAACATAGATTCTTTCTAATTCGCTAATGTGTATACGTCTTTTCATGTATTATCATTTACCGCTTAAAACGCAGCTTTACTTTCCACTGCCGAATGAATTAAAATATCGCTACTCTCAACGATTGCGGCGTTTAAAACAAGTGTTGCTATTTCTCAATAGTACATCTTTTGTCTTATGGTTTGAAAGCATTTGTCGTTCTTTGCACTATTTTGCCATGTTGCCTCACACAATTGTCACTTTTCCGAACGTTACTTTTTTNGCTTTCTTCTTCCCTATCTCCACAATCTGTTTTATAACTGGGCACAGGTCTGTTTCAAACGGCAAGTTAGTTAATTACTGAGTAAGATCCAACTTGCAAAATTTGCTGAACGGTTCTTTTCGAGTCTCCCTTCGTTCTGTCTCCCAACTCTCTCCTTGTTGTGGTCCCTCCGACTGATTAATTGCGGTCCGTTGTTTCAGAAACGGGCAGAAGAACACCAAAATAACTCGATACATTTGTCAAATCCCGCTGTGTTGACATTTTCACAACTCACATAAGAAGCAATTTGCGTTCTGCTTTATCCCACAAGGCTTCCATTATCTGGACCTGACAATAAGATAATGAACAATGAGATTTTTCTCTCTAACACTAATGCTGCTAATATGCTGTCGATAAATGTTAAAGAAAGTGGACGCGGCGGAGAGAAAGAGTTTTGATTGAAAGAGCTACCTCAAATCTACTTTGCTTTAAAAAACGCACGTGATTCAACATGATGAACAATGCGTGGAGGATGCTTACACTGGGGCACAGAACAGGCAGGTTTATTTCCTTCCCCGACATACTGCTTATTCTCTCTATTTGTGAACAGATAGAATAAAAATGACATATTTAGTCAGTAAAATTTGTAACATTTAAGTTGATCATTTACTAAACCAATTCAAAACTGTCTTAACACAAACTCGACGCCTGAATATCGGGATAGTCTGTGTTTTGTGAGTGATACGTTTGATAACAAAAAACAGATATGACCCTGTCCTGTGGTTGTGGTCTTGTCATTACTTAAAATAGGAATATCTAACTGAATCAGCCCAACCTGACACCGTGTTAAAATAATGTAAGAGAATTCTGAGGGCAGCAACGATCAGAATTTCATATTTATCGGCTTCTCGATTTCGGGTGGAAACGAGGCAAGTGTGGAATAAATAGTTCATCCCAAAGCTGACACGTGGCAGTTACCCCAAACAGTTTGGAACGGTGATAGACTATTTGAGATCTTTTTGCTCAGCTCAAAATAGCAATTCTACTGGAGAAAGGAAGTCGCTGAATAACTGCATTTTGCTGTTCGAATGTTTTTGAGTGTCTGTAAAAATAAACTATTCAGATCTTTGTGTTCCTTTTAATCAAACTTGATACTTATGTAATCATTTTGTCGCAATGTTTTGACAATATGCCATGTGGTTGTTCGGTAAATAAAAATAGTAACTTATTTCTGTGACGAAATGTTTTGAAACGTTTGTTTGCGATTCTTTGAATACAGCTGTCATCATTTTACTTTTCGTTATTCTAGGAATTGACTACCCTCGGACAGCAGACGTTTAAAGTCGTTTATCACGAATTTTTATTTTCACAGTATTTAGATGTTTTAAATCACTTCAAGATAATAAGATTAGCTAAATCGCAGTCTATTCTCTCCAGCAATTTTCACAACCGAAGGGAAGGAGAAAGGAATTCATTTTTCCTTCTGTCTTCCTTTCAAGAGGACCCCTATGAATGAATTATATACAAACTCGAAGGTTCGCGGGGTGATTTGTATCACACTCGATGTGGCATTTGAGTGAAAGACTTTATAATTCATCCACATTGGCCAACCTCTACCCACACATCCACCCACCCACCTCGCGGACCACATTGTTGACTACGTGTTCGCAATCGTTGGAATCTAAATCATCCGAAGTTGCCCTCTCCGCTTACTGACAGGGAATGCGTTTGATCTATGGTACACTTCGATGGTTCCGATAACTGTTTGTAGTTGGATGATGATCATGCAAACGATTCTTTCAGCTCAATTTCCGTGAAAAGTAATGTGAAGTGCTCTCGCTGCAAGCAGAATGCAATTGTGATCAACGATTTACCACCGTGATACTCACATTGAAAATGAGACCAAGGATTTTAGACTAAGACCTACTGACGCATCATAATTTTGCACAGATGAAACGAGCCGGTTCAAAAAAAATCAAATGCGTATTCACTGGTAACTTACCTAGTTCTACTAACATTCAGTATTTACGGATGGAACAATCTCACTTACTCCGGGTGGACCTTGTCGACCCTTTGGTCCTCTTTGGCCATCACGACCATACGGACCTGGATCACCTTTTTCGCCAAAATCACCGGGGTCACCACGCGGACCATCCACACCGGAGTCTCCCTGTTCCAGAAAAAACATATTGAATCATACTCAGGGTTTACTTCAGTCTATTGATATTTGTAAGTATAAAAAACAATATCCTTATATGCCCCTTTTTAATTATTGTTGAGTACATAGTGTTGGATTCAACTTTCGGGAAAAGGCTGTGGACTAACATAGTGGCCTGGAGGATTGTAGAAATGATGGTATTGTGTGGAAACCAAACAGATGATCTGTAGACTGATTTGATGTTTGATCTAACCACCAGATTACTATAGCTCATTCGTATGCTATAGTCTAACAGTGCGAACGAAACTGCACATATAGTCAGGTAGTTTGGTGCATTTGGCATTGAAAAGCGCTTCATTTTATTAGAATGATGAGGCTTTACGTAATCTCTGAGTGCGCGGTGGTGTGCACCAGATGAATGCAACAACGTCCCGAATAAGTGCACAACTCTTGTCCAAATGCGCCATATGAAAACGAATCAAACGAGTCTTTTACGGTTCATGCGATTCTGAAACAAAAATATCTGGTCCTCTTTCCCTGGGAACTCGTACATGTTTCAATATTACCTATGCTAACTTCCGAGACCAAACTACTTTGTTCAGCTTGGTTATTATCATTTTCAGTAGTCCAATCAAGCGGTAATTTGCCGCGCCTCACTGATAATCTTGTTCTTTTACGCACTCGCATAACGGTGTCACTTTCAACAAATCACAATTTGGCTTTTGTAGAAACCTTCTGAACAACATGAAGTCTACGACATTGTAAGTACGAGTATCTAAAATGGGCAACATTCGTGGTAGTCTCCACAACTTGATAAAAAACTATTGCCAGGGGAACTTTATGGTAAACTGTAAATAAATGGCGATAGCCTTGGACTTCAACAAATAAATTAGTGTGTGTGTGACAAGTTCCTTACGCTTATTGATTACAAATCGATACACATTTGGTTTGGTCAGGTAGACCATCCAGAAAATAAAATTNGAATAACTAAATTTTTTTAAACATTAGTTTTAACCCTCCAAGCGAACGGATTTTGATTCTTTTACATGAGCCTAGATCCCTCCATCGTGCAATTTATCCTCACGGAATAGAAAACGTAGCGTTTGCCACAAATAACTTCGTATTTATTGTCTCTAAAGTATCAGTGATTCGCCCTTTAACTGTTGCCTAACTTCACACAAATCAACCACCGTAACGCAAGCACGCAGCATTGGTGGTTGTTCGTTTTGTTTTTCTTAGGTATTGGTCCACAAAAACAAGGTTGTTTAACCTCAGTGGATAAGCCGGCAACAGTAAACGCCATCTACCCCCCTCGCTCGCCTGCACACTTCCCCCACTCCATCTCACTGCACTTCAACAGTTGGGTTTATCTTAGCTAAAGGCACGTAAAGGAACTAAACAGTCGATTCGGGCAAACTCTTACACCTTCGGCAGATATGGTGTTAGTTGATCGATAATTTGTTTCGCTCAGTCGGGTGGCCGGTCGGCAGAAAATTGATGTGCGTCGGAATGTTTTCGTTTTCATGCAATGTGTAAACATGTGGTAAACAGCATGGTATCGGTCATAAGTTAAATACTCTTCAACTGTTTTGACTGTTGTTGTGAGTGACCACAGATTTTTTGGGTGCATGTGTGTGTGCGTGTGTGTGGAAATCGGTCCTCTCGTACAATACGTCTGTTCCGATTGTCCTAGTAGGATGCGTATGCACACCAAACCAAAAAATACACCGTAGAATCTTACCGCTGGTCCCGGTTCTCCTGGAGCGCCAACATCTCCAACATCACCCTGTTAGAATGTAAACAATTGAAGTACAAATCAAATATAGTTCATTCAGGGCAATTTTTGTTGGTTTTCGCACAACGCAGGTAAAGAAAAAAAGAACTTTCAATGAACGAGAACATATGGTTAAGAGGTTTGTACTGTATCATTCGACTGCCATGCGTTGGCACTAAATCCTTAAGTGCAATAAGTGATCAACAAATACATTATTCACATATTTGTTTCCTAAGTAATCTGCTTCTTTTCTGAGCAGCGTGAAGAATGATCATAATCTAGTATCTCTTTTATTTATTTAGGTGACTGTTTGCTTTAGTGGAATACATCTTTAAATCTAGTGTTTGCTTTTTAATTCCTTTTGCCGTTTGTGGCTTTTATTGTTCTCTGTTTTGTAGAATACCAATCCAATGCCACCGGTCTCAAATTTCATCATAAATATTATTTATCTTCGACCTCTTTATGCATTTTCCATCGACAAATAACTTATCTGCATCCTTGATTACATGTGGCAAAGATAATTTGAGCGTACACATGGGTGCTATGAGAGATTTCCGTCTGCCAGCATTACTAGTAAAAGGAATGTGACTGGTGTCCGATTCAAAGATGGACAAAAGTTCAGAGATGTAACGTATGGTTTTACGTGTTACTGAACACACGGCTGAAACCCATAGTTATGGGTTAGTTTCTGATTTCGTTAGAAAATTAGAAAAATGATAAACATTGGTAGCCTCCACATAGTTCTACGTTTCAGTTACCTCAATTCCAGGTCGTCCAGGATAACCTTTCTCTCCTTTCGGACCAGGTGCACCGGAAAATCCCTGAGAACGTTAAAAGGGAAAATAGGCGAACAAATAGAGAATTATTGGTAAAATGAATCCGTGCCATCTCCCTGAGGCTGACTGTCCCTGCATGTGATCATTTCAGGCTAATCTGTTTGAAAAACTAAGTGTACAGTCACTGAAAATTGTTATAAAAAGAAAAAGGTTATGGAAAGAAATTTTGAACACAGAAATATAAATGTATGATGCAAACTGTATCATATTTCGTGGAAGAATAAAAATCATAAATAAAAATTTCGCATCCATTGGAATTCTGTTGTAGTGTTTAAACATAACGTTAAACAACACTATTTACATCACTATGAAAAACCCTGATTTGTGAAAAATTTACCATTATCCTTTTTTTTGTGTGTACCTGAACAATTTTTCCCATTAATATTTTGATGGTGTTCTCCATAAGTTTTATATCAAGGGACAAAGGCAGACTTTGCCAATGGTCTGATAAAGTGAGTATGATTTATTTGATTAGTTATTGGACTTCCCCTTAAATTAAAAAAATGTTGTGACCATTATCCATTATCCGCTATGGATAACGCGTCACACTAAGATGATCAACGTTGATTAGATATGACAGGTATTTAACAGAAATTGCAGTTTTCTACGACCGAGGAAAGCGTTTCTTATTGCGCGTTGAGAAAATATGATTCAACATCTTAACTCACAGGTTCACCATCCTCTCCAGGAAATCCTCTATCTCCTTTTTCTCCTGTTTCACCCTGAAAGAGAAACGAATTTGGTCCTTTGGTTTACAAGTAGAAACGCAGATCACATAGTTTCAAATATTCACCCAAACGAAAGATACTACTAATGAGTAGTTGAATGATGAAATGTAAATCAGGCCCAAATTGCATAAATTGTTCTCGGAACAAAGGTAATCTTGCCAATCACGCCGCACTGATACACCCAAATGGAAGCTAGAAACAAAAACATTTTCCTGTCCCTGTATCCATAGCACAAACCTTAAAATCTTTTCGTACTCAGATCACAGTGAATAGAAATTACTACAATCAGTTATTTCATACTTACCACTTCTCCCGTTGGACCAAATGAAATCCTGATTAGCTCTTCGATAGTTCGATTCACCATAACTTCGTCACATGGTTGTCCTGGAGTTCCTGGTGGACCTTGGAAACCCATATCACCTTTTTCTCGCTTCGTTTGAATGTAAACTCCCGGACGACCCGGAGGTCCAATGTCACCGGGTAAACCACGAGCACCCTAAAATGAACAATATTAAGCACCGAAGGGGTTTACTAGCGTTATTTCTGAATGTTAGTAGTCAACTGATAAAAAGTAGATCAGCATACACAAGATAACTTACTGGCAATCCAGTCGGGCCTCGTTCTCCAGGAAACCCAGGTGGTCCTACAAGACCAGGATCACCCTGTCAGGGAGAATTTAAAAAATTGAATGCTTATACCATTTTCACATAAAAGTACCGTTCGGTGCAAAGGGAGATCTGTTCGTTTGCTACAAAAACGGATGAGACATTAAAATTTAACCTATTTAAATTCTCACAGCTAGAACGAATCAGTACCTATGGGATGTTGCACGCGTCACAGAATTTTTCTACTGTTTTAAGCAACCCTTAAAGTAAATAAAATAATATGGACAATGACTTTATATCATGAAACTGAATTCAGTTTTTCCTGAAAACTCATCGGATTCAGTTTGTAAAAAGATGGTGGAATCACTAATAAGATTTGTTGACTATGTACACAGGAATATCAGATGTGGCAAGCAAATGTATTGCTCCATGCACCTTCTATGGATTTATGGGGCGAAATTCCCTGGTCGCGGTTTGTGCCAGAAAAACGTTCACACTTACCTCAATGCCCTCCAATCCAGGCTCTCCGACTTGACCCTAAAACGCAATTAGAAACAAGGAATTAGAGAGCTATTTCAGAAAATTTGGTCTATTATTCAAGGTTAAAAAAACCAGTGTTCGTGATAGCTAGGTTCATGTGCTACGTATTCCACCTTATCCATGAGTCATGTTAAATAACTGAGTACGACATTACACAATTGATCGAGAACGTGCGATTTCACCAGGTTTCTTTAAGTTTTAGATCATATGGTTTTACTTCTACTGGGGGACTATTTGACATTCTTATTGCGATGCCTTTTATTACATTTTTAATTTCAAATCTATCAAAATCCGTTACTTGTAGATAAATAAAAGCTGACTGTCACAGTGTACCCGAAGGTCAGTGTCACGGATTGCGGGTGTCAAAGTCACATTTATTGACCTTCGGTGCAGTGTAGTCAGGTCTATTCACACGCAATTCTTTTGATAACCTTGATACCGGGGTGTTTTGTTTAGCCACCTTATCAACAAAACTCATTTCGTTTTTGGTCGTTTTTTAAATGTTGTTTTAGATGTCTCGTAAATTGCATTCGCTACTATGCAGGAATACGGATAAGTGAACTCATGTGGCAATTGGAGTTTGCTATGGAAGCAGACCAATAACGGTCAAAATAACAGCAATCAAACAAGCGAACGTGTCTAGTCCTGTATCGTTGTGTTAATGACGTGACAAAATCTACACCGACAGACGAAAAGGATGAAATAAAACTGAAAATCGTCTGTAGTGACAAACAGTATAAAATGGTTTGTTACGAAAGTGCAACAGTTAGTTTTGGATGAAGAAATGCTTTATTATGTAAGCAGTAGCTTTGATTGGAACAACAGTTCGCATATTATGACTGTAAATTAAAAGTACTAACCTTTTCTCCGAGTAAACCCTGTCGCGTATCACCGGCAAATCCCTTCATTCCTTTACGACCTTCCACGCCTTGTTGACCTTTCACACCAGGTTCACCCCGATCACCTTTGGCTCCATGGTCACCCTGAAATTAGAACCAATTTGTATTTTTTACATGAAAACTAGTTATCTGAGGTACAAATCAGAGAATATTTAAGAGCGAGGAAGCTCTGTGGTCACTTACTGGTTCTCCATCACAGCCGTTGTCTCCTTTGTCACCGGGCAAACCAGGATCTCCAGGATACCCCTAGGAATTTGAACGTAATCCGTTAGGCCTCTTGTGGAGGAGCGAAAGAACGAACATACCTTCATACCATGAACACCTGCGAATCCGGGTAATCCTGGTTGGCCCTATTTGAAAAGAAGGAAGTTCAAGTGTTAGAAAACAATAAACAATAGGGAGTTCTCGAGGCTTGGCTAATTGGTGCTCGATTATCCTTACCTGTATCCCTATATAAGTCGTTCGAACAGCTGGACAACCTAGGTATTTAGACCGGAAATGCACCAATCATCTAACAATACCTTTCTATCATTGCAATAAAATCCCGTTACTCGGGAGGTAGAAAAACAACCGCGTCAATGAAACCTGTTTCAGTTACAGTAAAACTTACCGCTTCTCCCTTCCTACCCGGTTTTCCTCGTGGACTTGGGTCACCTTTATCTCCTCGAGGTCCAGGAGGTCCAGCTTGACCAGGGTCTCCTGGAGGTCCTTCTGGCCCGTAGATACCCATTGCACCTGGCCGGCCCTGTGAGAACAAATTTAACAGATTAGTGAAAAAGTCAAACGGAACCCATGAGCTCCAAGCTGTTTCTCCTTGGCATTATTGATCAAAGATAACTTTCATGCTTCAAAATTGAAGTAAAATGAGGATGATTACAAATACTTTCACATACTACAGCAGCCTGTAACCCCGAATAGGAATGAATCAGTTATTCCATACCTCTTCCAATGACAAGTTTTCACATTCAGACAAACAGCTTCCATGAATTTGGTGTTTCTCCAGCCAATGAATACGGAAATACTAATAGTAATAAAAGAACTTAGTTCCAGTACTAATTTTTGATATTTGGTTGTCTTATTCTGTGGAATAACTATTCAGTTATATGCCCAAATTAGGATCTTCATCATCATCACAACTGATCCAATCATCAAAGATTATGTGCAGACCATTATATTTATAAATATATAATTTGTAGTAACGGGTGTTTTTTTAGACAGACCTTTCTTAACCAATCCATTTAGGAGTTCTGACTATCATTAGATGTTGAAAGCCAGAAATTTGTGAACAAAGCACAAATCTTGCCTATGACTAGATGAATCACTTGATCAAAAGTTCCAAGATAAGCAAACCTCACGAGTGTAAAGGATCACAAAACTGGTCGTACTCTTCTAGGGGAGTTTTGTCGAATCGCTCAGATACTTCTTAACATCAAATGGGAATACGTGTAACAGTTAGGGTAGGGATTTCGGGACTGCGATTTGTTTCAGGTAGTGGAATTGTTTATTTTGCACAGCCGTCATGGTATCCCCGATTCTTTAAAATTCTTTCAAATGAATCCATTGGAATCTGTTGTTTTCAGCAGAAATGTGTGTCTGGATCAAACAGGATACTGGTTCTTTTTTGCTTTTAGCAACCATTTATAAGTGAACTCCTCCTGGAGGATCCGAAGAACGAAAGCTCGTCGACCCAAATAGTTTGGGCTTGCATTTGAAAAAGTCCATCCGCTAAGTTAGAGAAAGTGTCTTTTTACATACAGAAACACATCATCCTGTACGTCAAACTCGAATAATCACAATTTACAATTTCGCATAATTTTTGTTAACATTATATATTTGCTCATTCACCGGGGATGGGTTATACCTTTCGCCCCGCTGCCTTATAGTCAGCGTGTGCATGAGGAATGTTTAGGGGCCGCATCAACTAGGACAACTTGACGCTATTTATTCAGGTGGATTAATCATTGAAGATCATTGAGCTCCACTTACGATGCATGTATCTGTTATACCCATTCGTGACCAAGCCCGTGCCATATAGCGCTTCAAAACTCGGACAGTTTGACTGTGTCTACAGTTAAACACGATTCGTTAACCCTTCACGTTTCCATTCTCAAGATCATAACTGACTTTGACGAATAACGGGAATATGGTTGAACATTTACGAACTATGCTCAAACAACTCGCTTTTCTCTTCAAAAGTGGTGTAGTTTTCTATCCGGTAATAATCCCTGTTTACATCCTCAAGCTGATCTAATCAAGCGAAAATAATTTGTTATTGGACCAGTCCACTGACACTGTTTTCCACCAAATAGAGCCTGAGTGAAATCCATTGGATCGTGTGCAAAATATCTCATATGATAATTAAATAAATCGGCATCGTTCTGTGATTGAAATTGCTCTCGCCTGCCGGTGGAATGAAGAACCACTGCTACAATGCATCACAAGCTCCTCAATGCTAAGTACTGTTATCATTGTTTTCAGTGAGGGCAAAGCACAAAAATTTACGAAAAATTCTATATCTCACGCACCAGACAGCCAGTGTATGTGTACCAGTAAAGCACGTTTTGGTTTACGGTGTCACTCTGCCTGACGAGGCACGCACGCATACTTGTCCAGCAAAAGACTTACCGGTTTGCCCACTTTTCCAACACATTGACATTTATCCGGGGTACAGACCGTGGAGCATCGTTCGCTCTGTTGCTGTAATAAAAGAACCAGGCACGTAAACGTAGACAACAGCGAATGCATGCACATTCACATTTGCACATGCCTATGCGCGTAAACATGGTTGTCAGCATTTGTATGCACGTCTGTCTGTGTGCGCTTGAAGTCAAAATCAATTAAAGCTCCCCGAAATAGGGCTACAAACAGATTACCGGCACATAGAAAGAGAGATAAAGCAAACGGTTATGCATGTGGTAGAGTAAGGTCAACAAAAATGATTGGTGCGATTAGCTATGTTCCTCGTGTTAATCTACCTGACTTTCTATCTAATCATAGGTATCGGATCATTCAGATAGTCACCATTGAAAATTGTATGTCCCTAATTAGCATCAAATTTAGGATTTACCATATGAACAGAATTTTATCTGAGTGAAACAGTGAATGGACAAAGTTGTTTTTTCCCAAACTCACCGCGTAGGTTAAAGCGACCAAGGAAAGCAATCCACAGAGGATGATTAGAATCCGTATGGAATTCGGAATGCTTAATTGGAAGATGAGAACAATAGGTTAGCAGTGATTTTGGACTGGAACTCGGATAAGGACTAAACATGAATACAACTAGGAAAATGAAACGAATTGAAACTCAAAAATTGCTACATGTGAGCATTGCTGCCTCTTTCACAAATCACTTCGTACACGAATGGATGTAACCTCACATCAGAGTGAATTATTCACAAGAAATTCACTTCAAGCTGCAGTTAGAACTGCACTGCAGCGAGCAGTGATCGCAGTCTATCCATCGAACATTATTGTTACTGATTCTCTTTCTCATCCACCAGACGCAAACTGTTTGCTCTATTTTTGGAAAATGAAATATCATCCGTCAGTCTCATACGAATTGGCAAGTTACCTCATCGACAGTTCATTGCTAACGAAATATAAACTAATTCTGTTTGAACACATTTTTCCGTTGTTTGCGCAATAACTTCATCGTGTTCAAATATTTCTGCGGATTTTTAAAGGCTATCCGTGACTAACATGCGTGCTTGGATTATCCTAGTGCTGATACATTCATTACTTCGGATGATTCAAACCATTGTTGAATTGATCCAACTAGGTCATGACTATTTTCAGTCTAGCATCAGTAAAAATACTACAAGAAATAGTGAGATCAAGTTTATAAAACGACAAAGTTACGTGTGAATTAAATTCCATAATATACAATAAAATGTCTAACTATTAAAACAACAAAGTGGGACATAATTTTATGAATTGAGGGAACCATCAGTGATTTATGCTAGTCTATAACCTCGAGGTACATCACAGTTTATTTCCATCGATCGTTATGAACCTGATAGCAACAGTCCTTATCTTTAACTTACCACTGATGAAGTGGGAACGATTTAGCGTGTACGATTGCACTAACGCACGTTCACGGAATGCAGGAAGCTCCAATGACATGTTTCCCCGACCCAAAACATGAGCAATATCTTGCGCATACGTTTGCACCTAGGGAAATTCTTGCGCACCTTGTACCACTTCAAAGCCAGTATGGACGGGCAAACCGCAGCAGCAGCAGCAGCAGCAGCAGATGAATCGCGCGATCCCACACAAGGTAGTTGGACCGACTTTGTACTTTTATGGCATGCATTTGAGAAATTCTTTATGCACCACAGTAAGCCTACGCAAAGAAAATCTCAGTGATTCGTGCATGTGCGTGTCATTTTGTGTCGGCGTGTGGTGCATATCCGACGAATGGCCAAATAGATGAACATCCAATCAACCAACCAACCACTTGCAGTACCACTGTGTATCAGGAACAAATACCATTCATGGTACACTCCTAACCACCACATGATGCTATTCCCAAATAAACGCAATCTGGTGCTGAAGCTGGTGGTGGCGGTGGGGCTGTGCATAGCTTTTTATAGTAAATTATAAAACAAACACTAGACAGCTGACTATATGGTTTGGGCACAATCCATGTTCTCTGTTCTCCCCACCTAAATCACCTCAGGACTTTCCTCAACCCCGCCCCGTACACTCTCAGCACATTCTTATACTTCCATCAACACACCTAATTCCGGTGCCAACACTAATGCCCGTACCAACCAACACTTTGCCAACCAAAACACATTTGATAAAAACAAGAGGAAATGTAAACAGGCGCATAAAAACAGACCATGATGCATCAAGCAGATAGTTGTCGGGTTAGTATTTCAAAAAATCCATTACAGCATTCTAACTTGGGCAACAACAAAACAAAATTTACATCCGCGTAGTTGATTCAACATTTACGCAGCTGAGTATGAATAAAATTGCAGTGGGATTTCGGTGGAACGAATGACTCCTAAGTAGAGCATCATAATATCTAACCATCACGGAAAATTTCCCTAAGTGTTGTATTCTGAGTGACCCTACGTGAAAATTACACACAGAACCACGGGTGATTCCAGTCACTTACCTCATATGCATTGTACCACTCGGGATAGAGTACAGCTCAATGTGCTCGGATCGTTTAACAGTTTGTTGAGAATCAGTTATTCGGTGGGTCGCGGCTATCCTGTTTCAGTGGCGGGATAGAATGCCGTGGCCCACTCACTTAGTCCACAAACTGAAGCACTCGATCGTCGTGCAATTCGACACAGACGATGGAGACAATAAGCACAGTGTCCTGTCGATTATACACCACACTTGTTGGTCCGTTCGCTCAGCTGGCTGCCTGGCTGGCTGGCGGGCTGGCGGGCTAACAGACCCACACCGAATCCCTGACTGGCTCGCGTGTTCGCTTCCTCGTCTATTTGCTTGATCAAATCCCGGAAACCCGGTCGTCCTTCCACCCCACTGTCAATGCGCCTGCAGAAGGTTACCCCGCTCGGTCAGTGTCGAGCCTCTCGCACATGTAAGCACGTACGCACGCGCGCACACGTGCATGCCGGTATACATGCACACACTACAAAATCCCGTGTGTGCATGGCTGTGCGCCGGCCTGCGCAATCCAATTTCTGTCCAGTCTCTTGAATTCTCTATAAATCGATTGGTTACACGGCCGCCAAAAAGTGTCTACGGCCACAACAGTGACCGTCCCCTTTGCAATGGTGGGGTTGCAACATCCAAATATGTACACATAGATACATAGATACACATGCATGTATAGTTATCTATGGGCAATGTGGTGCACACAATGACATCCGGGCGACAGAGTGCCTGTTTGTATTTCTATCTGTGCCCGGAACGGGATGGGGGCAAAGTTAGTGACCGTGTCGTGTAAGTTGTCTGGAGGTGGTGTTGTCATTTCTATTGGTTGGGATCATTGTGTGCTCCAAGGTTGTCGTACCGGTAAAACCGGTAACCTCGTTGGATTGGTGCCGATACATCCATGAGTAGCGCACGGATGCACTGAAAATGTTGCCCAAAAATGCAACATAAATAGGGATTCGGAACAGATCAAGATCCTGACTTGAACCGTTTTACACCACTTAAATATAATGTCTCATTTCCATCGTGTGTTGGCTTGTTTGTCTAAACCAAACATGTGCAAGTGCATTAGTTTTGGCATTGTTCATCGCCTGGTCACATTCCAGACATGCGCATATACCGGTATTAATCCCTCAAAGCTATTCACATATATACAGAAACACCGTTGATGACTAGCGGTGGTAGCGAATACGGCCAGAACCTAATCAGATTTCACTAGAACAGGTCGGATCCAGGTGTGCGCAACAGCTGCACGTTCTATCAGAAGTTGCACAGACGAATGACCTTTCTTTGCTATAACACAAAACAGCACAACAGAACCTCGGAAGCACAGAGGACGGTTGTTCAGTTTTGGTTGTATAGTTTCAGACGTCAATTCGTTGTGACTCATTCTCATGATCAGCATTTGAAGCAAACAGCAGCATCCCCAATGCTAGTGCCTATGCTTTTGATTGTGAATGACTGCTACGAATAACGTATTTGTGATTTTCTTCAGTACCACGTGCTCCATCCCCAGTAGGGCATCGTAAAACATGAACATGAACCATTTGAAAAGAGAAAGGTCAGTTCTGTAACACAAAGAGAGGATTTGATAGTGAATCTATTTCCAAGGTTGATGGATAAGCATTAATTGAATACGTGATGAGATGCTTGTAACGGTTACAGAACCCATTGTGGATGATGTGCCCGTTTGTCTTAGTTTTTCGTTCCCACAGGCACTTGTTTGTTTTGATAAGATTTCACTTTTAATAATAATACTTTTATTACTAATGATAACCATAATCGTTAATCTTCGAAATCGTGGGTCCTCCGTGAATATGCTGGGGAAGTAGTGATATACTTTCAAGTGCTCGGTTGAGGGGTTGACGTGATTATAAGAGTGCAGTTGGTGGTTTCATTTCATCCTATTCTGATCAAGTTAAGCGGAGTTGAGAGGTGCTGTTCTTATAAATGCATGCCAAATTCCATTACGACAAAAAGTAACTACGGATGAACATTTCCTTGTACTTCCTGTTCAAATTTGCACACCTCCGGTTTGAACTTAACCCGAAGGTTCACGATTCAAGTCTCGGCAAGGAATATAAACAGTACGCTTAGTTGTCGAGGTACAATAAAGACGAAACAGCTGTTCAGATTGCCTTACACTCAGACAACGTTCATCTGAGTTCTACTGTGTTTAGCAAAATTCTTGTTTTGTTTCGCACCAGCTATCGGATTAACCATAAAAGTAAACGGATGGAACTGTGACATTACTGCTAAAGTAAATCTTCCAAAATGTTCTTCTTTTTATGTGCAATATGTTTGTTAGTGCATGTGTACATCACATTTTCCGTTTAGACCACCAGCCCCATCCAGAATGCCGGGCTAACCGTTCGGTTGGCCTGACACTGATCGACCAAATGCGCAGCAAACCAGGTGTCTTCTGTTTCCAGACGAGGTTAAAGTACTGTAGTTTACTAGCAGTGATAAGCGGAGTAGTTCTGACTAACTGGTTAATAGATAGGGAAAAACAAAGAAGCGAACGGTGATCCAAATGGTTTGACCAAAAATAAATACAGACTAAACCGTGCCTAACGAGGAACGTGAGATCCTGGTAACTACACCAAGGAGGCAAGATCTCAGGAGGATACAATCATCTTGCAATTGGGCGTGTTATGCTATTGATGGAAAATAGCCAATGGCACAGCACAATATTGGTCAACTAGTCGTTGTCGGAAGTGATAGGCTCCATTCGGTAAATTGGATGGGAATGTGTAGATGAATAACTGAGAGGAGGCCGATAATTAAACATTTTATAAACCCACCGACAAACTAAAGTACCTATATGCGTAATAAAAAATCCAGTTGATCGAGATCTGTATTAGTCCATGACTTTCCAGAACCAATTATGATATGTACGGTCTGGTGCTCACTCGTAAGGCCCCGATTTTCTTCTGGCTACCGATTCGTAACAAACGAAGGACAGAATATTTTACAGTTCGATGTCAGCTTTTTGGACACACTCTTGGAATTTAGGGAAAATAACAATAAATAAAGATAGCTTTTGAAATTGGTGACGATAAGTTCAATAAATTTACGATGTAGGTTGTACTAGGACACCGTTAACAATTGACAGGCCATGTTGAACAATAAAAACAATACAACTGGTTGAAAATACCCTTTTCCNCCAGTTATTCGTACTCATGTCAAAGTAACACTCGATCAAGTTATGAATTCGCCGTGTACATGAAGCGTGAGCTGAAAAAAATGGAAGCATTTAACAGCTCTCAAGACCAGTTTTGGTATCATTAGGGGCGATACTCCATCTCCCTACTAAGGGATCGAGCTCGAGACCTCATAGGTAGAACGCAGGCATACTACCCGCTCGAGCACCGGAGAGCTGATCTGTTTTTCACTTTGTCTTAACGCAATATAGCAAAACCCATCTTCACACGATGAATTCACTATACTACTCAATCATCTCCCCTACTCCGATGTTATATAACACATAATTTAATCAGAAACACTAGAATGACGAATGAAATATCACTATCTCAATGTTCTGAATCCGATTCTGATCGTTTTTGCGTGAGACTGATTGTACACAATCGGTTACGCACAGGTACACACACGCATGAGAGTTGGCAGTCAGATTGAAAGTATAAGCACTGTAACCTGTCATCTCATCTGATATTATTGATCATAATTAATGTTACGTATGGGGATAGTTACAGAAAAATGAACGTTTACTGTTTTGTTTATTTTTAACACATCAGGACCGAATGATTTTAGGACTGTATCGAAAAATCGATGCTCCATGTGTTGTTTTTATTGTGAATGTTATAATGTTAATAACACAGCGATCAGAAAGGTTACCGGCGGTAACCGAAACGTCGGCGAATATAATTCTCTATCGACATCGCTGTGCTAATACCATTATAACGTTCACTGTTCTGGTCTGATCATGGCTTTTGAACTGTTTCATACGTGTTTTATGTTTAAATTGAATGAAAGTACACAGTAATAAATGATGCCTTCTCTTTTTTTCTCACCCACTGCATTGAACTAAAATCTCTCCACCTTGGACGGTTTGTTTTCCTGGTTTTGTGCAAATATTTTATTGATTGATACCTTTGCCCACCCCACCCCACCCCACCTCATAGTCTCTATGTTATATCATTAAATTTCTCTTCGTGATCGCTGATTTGACTTGAAAAAAAAACAGAAAAATTCATTAGATCAACATGCAATTCCCTCTTGAGAATACCAAGGCTGGATAGGCATAATCTGCATGTGAATCGAAATCTGCAAGTGCGATTTTGCTGAACTCTGTATATTTGGTTACAGTAAATGGATCACAGTCGTTCCTCTCCTTCTAGTCAACAGATGCCTGATGAATCGATTTTCAGAACGAGTGGTTTGGTCAACCAAATGGGAACCACAGTAATGATGATGTTATTAGGAGGGGTTATCTCAGAGGTGAAAGCTTACTTACTGTGTCGAATTGTTGGAAGAAGTTTGTACTCATCTAGTCTTAGAACAGCGTCAGTTTCGTCACGGGAGAGATATGCTTATGCCACTCATTACTCAGCGACATCAGATTGGAAAAAGGCTAACTGCCATTTCGGTTTGGGCGCTTTCGCATTCAACACGGTTTATTACTTCAAACATTTTCGCGTCATGTAATGACTATAGGTTCCCTGTTGTATGCTCAATGTTTGAGAGTATTATGACCAAATGTCTATTCTCTCTCTTGTGGTGTTTGGTGTCGGAATTTACATTCTATTTTTAGCTGTTCAAAATAGATACCCACTGATATTCCAACAGATTTCCTGCAGCCGAAGTCACATCCAACTTGTGGAACAATCGGTGTAAATGCCGAGGAAGAGCAATCGGCAGATGTTTCGTCCACGTTGCGATTCGGCAGCTGTGCACGTCATATGAACAGTGAACTTTATGGGTTGTTAGAAGAAACACCTTAGCCCATGGTTATATAAATTATATAAATCGTTCTATAG